CCAGCCTCATTCTAGTGCACTTATTCGGTTGTCGGCAAATTGTCGACAAAACCCTTATTGTATATGAATTTTTATTGTCGGCCGACACTCCTACATAATTGCAACACTATTTATTAATTTCTGTTGTGGAAGGAGACCATTCGCCTCATCGGCCATATGCCATCACCGGTCACGCTGCTCTCCTTGTCCCATGGAAAATCACTTCCGCTGCTTTCCACCTGTCACAGAGCGCCGTTCACAAGCGCTTTTGCACTTTTTTCATGCTTTTGCTAATGCCTTTCTCATTTGTACGAGTGAAAGGGCACATGCATTTTGCTGATGGTTTGGTTTTGGTTGCGGTGTACATAAAGAGTTTTGTGTGTGTGTGTTTATGTGTGTGTGTGTGTGTGTACATGTGAGTGTTTTGTGTGTGCATGTGTGTGTATGTATATGTGTGTTTGTGTGTATGTATGCGTGTGTGTGTATGTGTGTGTTTTTGTGTATATGTGTGTATGTGTCTGTATGTGTCTGTGTGTCGTCTTCCTGTAAGTGCAATGTGCGTTTTTATATATCAGTGTTTTAACATGTGCGTTTATGTGCGTATTTGTCTGTGTGCACATGAATGTTTGGGGATTCAGATGTGAATTATCATTATTTTATTTTTAAATGAAACTACTGTTTCATATGAGTTTCCTTCATGAAATTCTTGCTTTTTTGAGTTTTGTGTGGATGTGTGTGTGTTTTGTGTATGTTTGTGTGCGTCTGTGTGTATGTATGTGTGTCATCTTCTTGTAAGTGCAGTGTACGTTTTTATGTATCAGTGCTTACACATGTGCGTATGTTTCTGTGTGCACATGCATGTTTGAGGATTCAACTATGAATTATCATTGATTTGTTTTTAATGCTGTTGTTTCATATCGGTTCCTTCTGTGGGATTTTTGCTTTTCTAAGTTGAATTTTGAGTTATTATATTTCGAAAGGGACAACAGCTGCAAACGAAAAAAGCTCTTTCTTGCAAGCAGTCGAGGACGTGAGGCTTCGATTCTGTGATTTCATGAGGCTAAGCATTTGCACTTGCTTTGTTAACATTTATTTTATCGATTTAAATTTTTTTATAAAATTTGGATTTGTTTAATTTTGTGCATTTAATGCTTCCATCAAATTTAAAGTTAACAGCAGATTTTGTCTGGGCAGCACAGCCAGCATCATGCGAGTAAATCGCATAGAATTTTTGAGGGGAATTGTTAAGACTCTTGAGCGTCAGATTTTTGAATGGTAGCAAAAACAAACTGTTTTGACTCCCAACCTAAATTCAGCGTTAGATTTGCCGGTAGGAAAATCTTTTTTTCCTCTGATTCGATCATTTGTCTTACAAATGACGCATACCATGGAGCCAAATCGCCGTCAGCTTGCTTCTAAGCAGCACTCAGAAGAGAAATTCCGAGCGGCTCCCAACAGATTGTTACTTTTATAGTATGCTACCAGTTGGCTGCTTCCAAGCTCTTTCACCTCGTGCGAGTTAAATTTGAAAGAAATTCTGAATTTTGTTCGGTGCGGTTGCGAGAACTAAGAAGTTTACGGGAGTGTCTAACGGGCGGGGCACTAGTTGCCGGTCATCCGAATAGGTGATGAAAGCTAGGCTTAGATAAAATTTTTTGAATAAGACAGGCACATTTGTATTCGTCCGCAAGAAATACAAAATTCAGCCAGGATGACTTGGACGGTGGACGATAGATTAAGTCGGGAGATACTAAATTTCAACACGAATATTAATAAAAAAAAAGATCCAAAAAGCAGAAGCGAAAAAAAAGGAAGCGGTGGAGGGGCAGGGAGGAGGCCAGGGATTATTTACGGAAACGAAAGTTTTTAAAAAAGAGAATTCGTTTGTGCATTCCGTTTGTGTATCCTCATGTGCATTGGAAATGTTCTGAAACTAGGCGAACAATTGCATTGTGAAAAAGACTTTTGCATTTGAAGGTATTTATAGAGTGTAGGCGACCACACTGATTAGAAAATGCAGCGAACATTCAAGCTATTAGTCTTTAAAAAATTGTATGACGAAGCAGCTTGGTTTTTTTTTTCGTTTTTTTCCGGGAGTTGGATCACGAAGCAGTGGTCGTCCTGGCCTTTTTTTGTGTTTTTTTTTTTATTACTGCAGTCTTGATGAATATGACATACAGCATAAACCGGTTCATTCTAGCCGAGTTCTGAACTCTGAGATTCGCTCTGTCGTGCCAGTTTAGCTAAAAAGCGCGAAGGAAATATTTCAAAAAAAAAAAGTTAAAACTTTTGCTCTTTCAGCAAACTTTGATCAGCTGCCACCGCATCGCTTTGCCTGTACAGCTGGGTACCTTTGCATTGTTATTGAAAGTAAGTGCTGTTCAGCCTGATTTCACTGATATTCCCTGTATAACGACACCATCTGTAGCCTGAATTCCCCTCTCTAGCACCCTTTCCAGTTTTTCACGGAATTCTGTAAATTGTTCGCTGGGCAAAATGGATTGAAACTGATAAAATTTTTAAGTTTCATTTACATAACTTGTGCTTCTTTTTCTTCCCTCTTCTTTTTGTAATAGCATTTTGCCTATGAGCAAGTAAATTTTCGCCTGGGAAGGTAGCTGCAAAATTACATGTCGTAAGGCACACGTAAATTTGCAGTCCATTTTTTATCCCGTAGCTGTAAACACAGAGACAGAGAATATGATGCGAGTTGAAATGGGAATCATCAGTGTGGCCTCCAATTCGCCATGTATGGAAAAGATAGATAAAATAAGCGTGACAAATAATTAGTTGAAAGTA